CAACTCCCTTTGTGTTTATGTATATCTGAGTTTTAGCGCTAAATAAGATATAGGAAGCCGTTTCTCGCGTTGCTAGGTGATCGATTCTCTTATTCCTATTTTTCTTTTAATAGACGGTCCGAAAACCGGGCTCAAGTTACTTACCGGGCAAGTCTAGGCAAGCCTATTGTTCCTATTGAAGTAGAGTGACGCTAATTAGTAAACCTATACCGAATTAGTATGCAGGAAGACACTGACGAGGCACTTAAATTAATATGGAGGAACCCATTTTTTCCCTAGGTTATCACAATAGATGACGTCATTGACTCGACCGTTGTGCATATTAATAAAGGGAACCCACCAACGAGGCTTATCTTTTAACATAGTATACTACTCACCAAAGCAACGTTTATGTCGCAATATTAAACTCAGGGACAGTTGAGTGGTATCTTTGTCAGTAACTTTAATTTTAAAACTAACACGCACACACAAAAACAAAATTGCCGCCGATAACGAGGTCCTCTGTAGAAGGAGTAGATGACTTGTCTAGGTGCCCCATGGTGCCCTAGTCAAACTAACTAAACATGTTTAATTAAACCATGTTTTAAAAATGAAAACGGACTCGAAAAACAGGAACACACAGGTTTTTTTTACACAGGATGCGTTTACAAAATTCAACGCGTTTTTGTAATTTGCAATAAAGGTGTCATCAACATAAGGTGCTCTTATGAAGGAAAAAAATTATGCCGTGTTTGGCTAAACTGCCTTTAAACATAGACCGATCAATATAGAGAACTTTGAAAATAAAATCGATAAAACAAAGCAATTAATGGTCTATAAAGTTTAGCTTTATCTGGTAAGCTGTCTTTCCCTTAACTTTTTTTTTTGAAAAACAAAGGTTGGTTTTCATTTGGGGTCTTAAAAAATGTATTTCTTTTTAATTTGGTGGACCTCACTTTGAACAAGCGTCTTTTACAAATGCATAGGATAGGAGGTAATTAGCGCGTTTTCAAACGGGAAGACGAAGTTGTATCGTTATAGAAAGTTGGCAGTCAATACAAATTTGACTTTATACCATTTGCGTCAGCGACAAACAGAGGCGAAAGTTTAATGTTTACTTTTAACACAATTAGTTCATTCGTCGGCGTGCGTATGTCAAGATATCAAACAAACGGGAAGTTTGGAGCGTGAGAGTTGTTCTAGTCGGAGATGGAAGGCAAAGTTGTATCGTTATATCAAGTTAAGCACTCGTTAATATACAGAATTGACTTTACACCGTCTGCGCCAATAATAGAGGCAAAAGTCGGTGAAAGATAGCTTAGGGAGAAAGTGGAATTTAGCTCAGGGAAAAATAATTTTTAAATATTTACGAACAGGTGTGCCACCATTAATGTCAATGGTAATGCAGGTCATAGTTACCCCTTGCGTTTTTAATTTATAGAAATGAATATTCGTCAATTGGTTCGTTGGCGTTGACGCAAATGCAAAAGTTTAATCGATATAGACATGCCGCGAGTGTGAAAGTCTCTAAAGTCTCTCTCCGATTGTTTTATTCATATTTATTATTCTTATTTTATTCGGAAAGAATCAATTATTGATATTCTATGGCATCATTCCACCCCCGCTTACGGGCGTATGAGATATAATATGGCCAACGAGGTACGTAAGGCCTGCACGTATCCGGCCAACGCGAGTTCTCGTGGAATAATTGTCGATTATTGTGTGTTCAGTTCAATGCAACATCAAATGAATTTTTCTATCAATTGATAGCATCATTATTGTCACGGCTTCCTTCTGCAATAATATCTGTACCTTCTTTATTTTATCTTAGGTTTAAGTGGGCTATGTCAGGAGGATGTTGCTATCCTTAGGTCAAAAAAAAAAAAAAAAAAAAAAAAAAAAGTGATGTTGACTAAAACCAGACTGAGGGCACGCTACAGGAGTCCTCTAACAGAACAATCGTAGGCGAAGTAGTTGAAAATGAATAAGACGAGACCGAAGATGTTTATCATTGTATTGAACCATTTTATCGATAAGAAACAAAAAATAATCTATAATATTTCAGCACTATGAAAGGGGGGGGAGGGAGGCAGGGAGGCAGGGAGGGTCAAAGTTATTTAATATTTAATGAGAGCTTATTTAGCATTTTTAATATGGGACCATTAATTGACTTTAGATTCAATCGGAGAAACTATAATAATTTGTCTCAGTTTGCTGTCATTTTCTTACAATTAAAATATAATGGCACCTAAATGTTGTCAATGGTAGAATTATATATAGAACAAAATGAAAGAACAGACGATGTTTTTGTAAGTAAGAGACTCAAGAGAACAGACCTGTCGAAGAATCAGTAAGCATGGACAGAACAGCAAATGGAAGCTGCTTCAGTTTGATAAATCCAGAAACACTAAAAATTGGGCAAACGGTTGCTCTGAGCCTGATACTTGTTGTTTCGTTGGTTGGGAATTCTCTCATCGTATTAATTGTTTACAAAACACCAACTTTGAGAAAACCGATAAATATGTTGATCGCAAATATGGCCATGTCTGACCTGCTCTATCCAATATTCTTTGTTCCTGCTCGTCTGGCAGAATGGCACGCTGGCTCGTGGCTTATTGGTGGTACCCTTGGTCAGGCCTTGTGCAAGATACACATTTTTCTTGTTGATGTTTCCTCGTTAGTGTCGATTCAGAGCCTTGTTCTGATAACAGTGGATCGATTTGTAGCTGTTGTAGTTCCACTCCGTTCCCCTCTCGTAAGTAGAAAGCGGTGTCTATTCTTCATTGTCGCTACATGGATCGTCGCAATGGCCGTTCATTCGCCATATCTTGTTGCTTATAAACTTGGTAAATACCCAGAACGACTGATGTGCGAAGATCTGTGGCAGGAAGCCTTCGGAGGAAACACATATCCAAATTACATCCTAGCAGGTGCTATCGTGTTTTTCTACATTCCCTTTGTCCTCTTGGTGATACTGTACTCCAACATCCTGATCAAGCTTAAAAACCAAGTCCATCCAGGTGAGCAGTCAGCCAACGCTGAGCAACAGAGGACAAGAAGAAACAGAAACGTGCTTAAGATGGCTATTACTATCGTGGTAGTGTTTTTCATTTGCTGGATACCCTTAGTTAGTAACACGATAATAGACAATTTCAGTGCACCAGACAGTCTTATTTTTTCTTCTTGTAGTTTTCATCTATACCTTACTGTCACCTTCTTTATGGCTTACGCAAACTGTGCTATTAACCCGATTATCTGTCTCACTCTTAGCAGTAACTACCGCCAAGCTCTTAAGAGACTTGTGAGTTGCTGTGCCGCCCATGCAGTGGAACATTAATGTTTGAAGACTGAAAGCCGGGTCTGAAGAGATTCATTAAAAAAAAGAAGACCAATAACAACTAATATTTTATGTAAAATAACAGCGAAATCACGAAAGAAATGCTTGTGAATTATGTTTTCGGCTGCAAAGTAATCTGGAGCACGCCCTAACCCTAACTCTAGGAAGGGTGGAAAATGTTATTGTATGAACGCATTTTCAAAGTATAATTTTGCCGAAAAACGCCGATCGAAGCCAGTAGAGCCGTTTTATTATTCTGTTCACTGAAACAGCTTCTGGATGGTTTGCTGCAGAACCGGCAAGACATCCAAAGAAAACGGTATGATATTAGCAGATCGACATGCAAACTCTGAAACCTAAGTAAAGGAGCGCAGGCAGACTTATTTCTACCACGAACCAAGACGAGGGACTTGAGCATAGGTGAAAGAAGAGGCCAGTTAGCCACGGTCGTCCTACATTGTAAAGACAACTGATGTGTCTGAACTAAAGTGCCTTAGAGTATACTCAGCTGAAGCGTTTAGAAAAAAAATCAACAGTTACCGCTGGAAGTTAGTTGATAACAACAAAGAAAGTCTTTCAACACAGAGAGGCATACTAAAGTGTTCAGCCTACCCTTAGTTGTCATCACCAGAATCACCCCGAGCACCTGTCCAGTCACGTGCACCGGTGCCATGTTACAAATATGGCGTGAAGAAACATTTTTCTTTCTTTTTGCGAATAATAACTAGGGGATGTTGGAAAAATGGACTGCGTGACTGTCACGCTGTGAAAGTAAACTTTGTTCCTTTTGATCTAGTTACTTAGTGATAAATTGTAATGACGTGATGTAGGTTTAGGATTTTGAAACTATAATCATCTTTGTAGCATGGACATTAAATTGTGAAGTGATTCGAGTCTGTAGGTCGTTTTAACGTGAATATTTTCTGGAAAATCTCTTGTGTTAGAAGCAATCGGAAGATTCCTGACAGGGCAACTTCAAGGGAGAAAATTGTGGTATACCCTGACGCCGAGTGAGAAATTAGTAGATTTTTCGCTGTTTGTGCGAGGAACAATTTAAAGACTTTTTCCTCTGTTTCAGCTGTAGCATTTTCTACGGAATGCTTCATTTCCCTCGTTTATATGTTGCCTATAGTCACCGACGAAGTCCGCCATGTTTTAATTTGTTATTGTGTAAAACTTAATGACATTAAGAAGTGACGTCAGTATTCCGTTTTATTCCAAATATTCTGCTCAGCTGATCTGTATTTGGAATATCTGTTCCACTTAGTTTAGAACTGGAGTAACAGGTCAATCGAACGGATATTCCGGATCTTTCAATTGTATTCCTATTGAGCTCAAACCAAGTTAGAATCGCATCGTGTTTCGGTTATTTCTTAGAGCATTAGAGACGTGTGAAACGAGCTTTGTTGAAAGAGACGTGCCACCATAAATATCAATAGTCGGATAATAATTATCCGCTTTTGTATAAATCGTATGAAAACTAGCTAGAGAGACGTGTATCTCGTTGTTTAACATTCTGACTTCAGCTGTCTTAGCGTTAGGCATTAAGCCATAATGACCTTACATCTTCTTTTGCATGCTGATTCTGAGATGTGAAAGACGAATAAATTTCAAATTAATACAAAACGTCAAAGGTTTAGTGAACAAAATTCTATTTGTTTAGTCACTGGCATGAGCTTCGCTCTAGTATTTATGACCTGTGTGTGTACCTTATATCGCGGCAAATATGACCTCTTTGTCACGGTATTTTATTAATTTGACGTCTCCATTATTGCAAAAAGCCCAGTGAGGGCGAGTCGACGAGTCTTAGAGCTCCTAGGGAATTAATTTCAAGGGCGAATTCTGCAGTTGTTGACTACATTTATTGAAATGGAAAAATAGCAGAAAACATAATGTAAGCCAAATCAATGCAGTATAAACAGTGTATACCTTCCTTTCTGTGATCTTGGATAATGTAAACCGAAAAGAAATAATATGCAAATATAAGAAAAGGAAAGTGTTCAAGAACGGGGCGAGAGAACCCCTGGGATGCTACTCTAAAAGAACCAGTTCCACGACTTATTCGAACGCTTGTCTGTGATTGGGCAAAAAAATATTTTTTGTGCCCAATCAGAAGCCAAGCATGTATTGTGCTGCCTTCGTAACCTTCTTATACGAAAGAGTTCACCTGCAAACTCGACTGTTTCCTCTCCGCCCCTGAAAAAAATCAGTCTGGCTCGTGCGGGAGAGTTTCTTCGAGAAGAGGTTTCAGTGAATTCAAAATGAGCCCTTAAAGTCTACTCTACCAGTTTCATTCGACCTTCTTGTATCACTGAAGAGAAACATTTAACAACAAATTTACAAACTTTAAAGGCCGAAAAAATGTCTCCTGCACGCGCCTGCATGAGTATGCCGAGCAGACGTAAACAAACACGCAGACGATTTCGCATGAACAAGCCTAGAAGTACCCTGGTATTTACGAATTGACCTTCGAGCAGTCCACAGGCGGATTTCTTCAATTGTTGCATTTTTCGTTTTATTTTGGTTTGGTAACATGCTAAATTATGGGGTAAGATTTCCGTATAATCCCATACACTTATTATGCGTGCATGTTTCCACTCTATTCATTTTCATAATTATCAAGTAGTATGAAATTGCTACGTGCATGATAATTGTATGAGTTTACACTGAAATTTTACCAATTATGGCTTTTCAGTGGGGCCTATTTTTACTGAAAAAAATTCTCCAAGAAAGCTCTCCTGCAGGAGCCAAACATGCACGGCCAACAGTCGAGTTTGCAGGTGAACATTACAAGCCTCAGCGTTCCGGAAGTTAAAAAATGCGGCGCGCCTGGTTGTTTTGAAGTGACGTAATCATCCAGTTGAGTATCTGTCATCTTAACACTTTTGCGGTCAACTACCGCAGAGCTCGTAAAAGTACTTTAGGGACGGACCACTAGAAAAGTTATGGGGGGTGTACTTCGTCCGTCCCCCATAAGTTTTCTAATGGTGCGGCCCTTAATTAAAATCGTGTTCAAACCACTGTGGAGGAAGTCTGTTTATAATTGTGTCGATAAATGCACTTCTGACTTTCATGAGGTTCAATTTTGAATGAATTATCAAAATTTTTGTTCAGCGAGAAGTCTACCTACGGTTCCCGGGAAAAGGAACTTTTATAGTGGCGCAACACAAATTTTTCGAAAGTCGAGGAGGTGCTGACAAACCATTCACTATATCTATGCGACTAAAGGAGGGTATAAGGTATATAACACGTTTAGCATTTCGACCCATAGCCGAAAAAAATAAATTAGACAGTTGCCCTATGTCCTTTCTGGTTTATCTAGGTAGAAGTCCTGGCATATAATTATGCCCGAGCGCTTCTAGGATATAAAACACGTTTAGCATTTCGACGCGAAAAAAAAAAAAAACAATTGAAAGCTGTTCCATATCCTCTCTGGTTCATCCAGGTAGAACTAGTCCTTGCATGTTATTCATGCCTGACCGCTTCCAGGATATATAACACGTTTAGCATTTCGACCTGTAGAACAAAAATTAGGCAGTTTTTCGACATCCTTTCTGGTTCATCCAGGTAGAAGTCCTTGCATGATATTATTATGCCTGGTTGCTTCTAGGATATATAACATGTTAAGCATTTCTTACCACACTTTCATCCTCGTCGATAAAACACAAGTTATAGTCAAATTAAGAGGCCGCTTTGAATCGATACGATTTCATTTGCATTTCTCCAAATTGTAGAGGGGCTGAATATTAGTTTGAAGAGTGCTTTGAACTGTAGTACATGTTTAATCAACATAAACGAGAAGTGATCTAAAAGCTGAAGGAGAAGTTTGTATTTCTAAATTTTTTCCTGACATCAAGTTAGGGGCCGAAGATTTAGGGAGAAAAAAGGGGGGATTAAAAAAAGAATGCAGACTCTCAGTATGTCAGGGAAAAAGAAAAAAATCTATCGTGGGGCAACATATTCTTACACAAAGCAATTTACCTATACCCCTCCCCCCCCTCCTTACCCCCAAACGCCTCAAAAGTCAGCTAACTGGCCACTTAGTCAGCACAAAACGAAAAACAAATAACAAGGACAAAAATTAAAAAGCGCCAAATTTTCAGGACCGGAGTCGGTTTCTTTGAGGTTCGCACAGTTTCTAGTAGTTATATTTGAATGGATTACGCGAAAAGGGATTTTCTTGTCCTTTCAGGTATTGTATCATTTTTAGTGTGTTTACACTGCTTCAAAAATTGCTTATTTCAATATAGATATTTCTTATTTCTTGCTTACAAATATTTTCTATCGAACCGGCCAAGTTTATATTTAGCCAAATTCGAAAATAGTATAGAGAATGTTGCTGACTAACACTTGCCCATACAATGCACTCTCGCTTTATTAACTTGCTTTGTTACATCAGTATAAAAACGTTCACCGGATTAATCGAAATTCGATATTTACTTTAGAACATAGAATGTTATGAAAACGGTTGCAGTTTTATGGAGTTTGTGTCATTTTCGTGATAGAGAATCGGAAAGGATATATTTTAGTAGACATCAGATTCCAGAATATGTAAATACAAGAGGGCGGATCAGAATGATATGATATTGCTCTTATACTGAAGGCGAAAGGGGGTATAATATGTGGTGCGCACTTTCAAAAGTACATTCACTTATTATTCCGCACTTAAAGGGGTCATAAAAGTGTACTGTTTAATGGTATTAAAGTGTTCACTTCAAGAGTCCTAAAGTGAACACTTTAAAGGAGTCTTAAAGGGAACACTTTAAGGATTAAGTTATAGCAAACATTATGATGAGAAGATGGAATCATAATGTCATTTTATTTCGAGGCATTTCTCGTTTCTTATCAGCAGTGTGCAGGCGGTGTTTCCCTGGCCAATCAGGAGATCGAAAATGTTTAGTGCTGTATAAAAGACTTGTTATGTGTTTCGCGCGGCCCTTCCAACTATTACCATCAGCCTGTACTAGTGACATCCCTTTGACGCTTAGTTGAAAATTTTTCCCACCACCTCCCCAGTCTCCGACCTGCCACCGTCTACATCCTCTTATAGTTTTATCGTCTTTAGTTTGTCGCAAGTAATGGCTAATTTGTGGCGGATTTTTGTCCCCACCTTTCCTGAAGAGATGTTAATTAGTTAGTTTTATCATTGGTTTCAATTAAAAACGTCACGCTTGTGGCCATTTATCCCAAACAGCTGAGATTCTTGCTCAATACGTGTATGCAAAGCTGATGGGTATTAAAATCATGTCAGCTTAAAGACGACTTCCATATTTGCGAAGCACTGTTGAAAAGGAGCTTTCTTTGGAAGTATGTTACTGAGCTTTACTTTAAGTATGCAAACGCAGACGTATTATTGGTCGTTAGGTTAAAGCCTTATACACACCTATAGAGAAACGTTCAACATGAACACAACAGCAGGTGTATCAAGTTCCCAAAGCTTCCCCAGTCTGATAAACCCGGTAGCAGAAAAACTTGAGAAAACAGTTGCTTACACTCCGATCGCTGTTCTTGCTTTGGGGGGAAATTCTCTCATCGGAATAATTGTCTGGAAAACTCCAACTTTAAGAAAACCAATTAACCCATTGATCGTGAACAAGGCCATGTCAGACTTGTTTTATCCAATATTCCTGCTTCCTGTTCGACTGGCGGAATTGCACGTTGGCTCGTGCCTTATTGGTGGTGCCCTTGGTCAGGCCTTGGGCAAGCTACACGTTTTCCTTGTAGATGTCTCATCGTTTGTATCGATTCAGAGCCTGATTCTGATAACAGTGGATGGATTCTGAGCTGTTGTAGTTCCACTCCCTTCCTCCCTCATCAGTCTCAAGCGTTGTAAGTTATCCATTTCTGTCACGTGGATTGGCTATGGCGATGGAAGGGCCATATCTGTTTGCTTCAAGTCTTGTTGAAAACCCAGAAGGAATGATGTGCCAGCTTCAGTGGAAGGAGGCCTTCGGAGCGGAAAGATCATATGCTATTTTCCTCATATCAGAGGCTATGGTGTTTGTTTACATCCCTGCCGTTCTTTTGTTTGCACTTTACTCCATCATCCTGATCAAGCTTAAAAAGCAAGCCAATCCAGGTGAACAGACAGCCAACGCTGAGGAACAACGGATAAGAAGAAACAGAAAAGTGCTTAAGATGGCCATAGCTATCGTTGTGGCGTTTTTTATTTTTTGGATACCACTTTTCACTAACCAGTTAATATTTTATTTCGCATCGGACAATCTCGTTTGGTCTTCCTGCAGTTTTATTCTATATAAAACTGTCACCTCCTTTATGGCTTACGCAAACTGTGCTATCAACCCGATTATCTGCCTCATTTTTAGCAGTAACTATCGCAATGGTCTTGAGAGATTTGTTACTTGTCGGCGTACAAGGTTGACGTTTGAAAAATGATTGTTCTAAAGCTATTCGTCAACGAAGACCTAATATTCAGAACCTTACCTTTGCAAAATAAACCGATTTCATCTTTGTGGAACATAAGAAAACTAGACCAAAAGGCTCCTTACTGCATAAGTTAGTCGTTCCGTTAAAGAATCTTCTGAATTTATTGCTCCTTACCCTCTAAACGGTGCAGCTGTACATTAAAACGATATGCCTGTGTTAAGCTCACAACAATTAGCATATGGTGAAGTTATATTCGACGAACATTTTAGCGATATTGGCCCCTTAGAGCCGCCGCCTGTTGCCTTGTGACACATGAGAAATATCATTAACAGAAGTAAAGAACAATAGAGGTCCAAAATGGAACCCTGTAGGACACCACAAATAACACATTTGGTAGACGAACAATGCCCATTATTGGGTCATCGCGAATATACCGAAATTCTTGTCGAATATAACTTCACCCTATGCAAAGTTAATGTGTTATGGCATCTTTCTTTCCTTGGAAGTAAGATGATCTGTAATGTATATATTGTATTTATTGAATCACATGACTTTTTTTGGCCATGCATGTTGCAATTCGTAATACACAGAATACACAGAAGAAATGAAAAAGAAAGAAGAAGAAATGAAGACGTGAATGCGTAAGCCGAAGAAGGCCTTAGATATTTACCGCCTTACAATTTCCACCATTTTTATTTTCATTCTTGCTGTCCTGTTGGTTGCACTTTACTCCATCATCATGATCAAACTTAAAAAGCAAGCCCATCCAAGTGAACAGTCAGCCAACGCTGAGGAACAGAGGACAAGAAGAAACAGAAATGTGCTTAAGATGGCCATCGCTATTGTGTTGGCGTTTTTTTTTTTGCTGGACCCCCTACGTCATTAACGAGTTGATATCTCTTTGTTTGCTCAGGGATATTTCATATTCCCGTCGTTCAGATATATACAGTTATCTCAGCTCCTTTCCTATCTCCGCATATGTTAACCACTCTCCGTAGTGGATTTTTTGGATCCGACTGGTTTGGTTATTTCCTGTGGACGACTGAAACTAGCTATTTTTGATGTCAGCTACGTCATAAACGCAAGTGTAGTCTCAAATGAAAACTCTCAAATTCAAAATGGTGGACATTACAATGACTCTACAATGTTCTGTTTGGGACAAAAAATTCATATCTCTGCGCGCGTAGCAGTTCATTGATGCGTATTCTACGTCAGTACTGAATCCAAAATATTTAGTATCCAACACATACGATATATATATCTTCGACGATATATATCTCTTCGACAATAACTAACCAATTCTGTATATGTCAAATGCATAGTAAGTTACACTGCTTGCTGCTCACGTAAAAAATAAACTGACTTCAATACAATACTCTTGCAAATGGCTTTTACCAATTGTTAAGTCCACGCGACTGTCACAGGACTAATCTCTCAGATTTTAAAGATATATGGAAATTTAACGAAAGTTCGATAAATATCCGATCAATAGGGTTTTAAGGTTCTAAAACACTGTTAAGGAAGAAAGAGTTAGCTAGTTAGAGAGAAGACAAACGGAGTTAGCGAGAAGGAGTTAGCAACTGGAAAGAAAGATTTGGAGATTGTTCAGCGAAAAGTTAGTCAGAGATAGAGGGAGTGAACCACAGCAGCAGCGAAGGCTTAACCTTAAAGATAAGTGAAATGGAAGAGAAGTAAGAATGTACAACAGTCTTGCGAGTAAGTAAAATAAACCTTAAAAAAGTAACTGGTTGATTGTGGAGTTCCTCTCGTCTCTCCGTCCCTATCAAAAAACGACACACAAACATCGTGTATCACGACTAACAAAAACGCGAAAAACTTCGTAAATGCTAAAAGCCGTGCCAGACCAGAAAGAATCTCTACTCGCAGGATATCAGTTTAAACCCAAAATTTCCCACACAAAAAAACTTGGCACATTGTAGCCCTTTAAGTTTAAGTTTAAGTTTAATAATTCTTTTTACCAATGTACAAAATAAAAATATATATACATATGTAAAAGTACAATAGGTAAAGGAAAGCAATAGGGGGAAACTGAATTCCCATATAAAAACTGCCCTTCAAAACGAAAAGATAAAACAATTATGAATAGAAAACTAATACATAACTATACATCACGTGATACTAAGAGAAAAAAAACAAACAAAAAAAACAACTAAATAAACTACGAAATAAAGTTTTAAAAGAGTTCAAGCTGTAGCTGGAAGCAGACATAACGAAGTTTGGTAAAGAGTTCCAGTCATTAACGTAACGATTAAAAAATGAAAATTTAAAATAGTTTGTCCTTGCTGCTCTAGGCCTGATTTTAAAGTCATGGTTTCTTCTAGTTCTTGTCGGGCCAGTCAGATCCACATATGTGGTATAATCAATATCAGAATAGCCATGAATAATCTTGTAAAGTTGAACCAGGCAAAGGTATTTTCTTCTAAGCTCCAATGTTGACCAGTTGAGTTCAGTGAGCCTTTCAGTGTAAGAATTGTGAGATCCACATATCAGTCGAGTAGCACGACGCTGAATGGATTCAATACTATGTATGTGTTTAACCAAATATGGATTCCACACTGGGCAGGCATATTCCAGAATAGGACGAACTAAAGCGATAAAAGCTGTTTTGATTGGCACAGGATCTTTAGACCCAAACGTTCTCCTTATTAGACCCAATACTCGATTTTTTTTTACCAACAATGCAATTGATATGAGCGTCCCACCTTAAAGAAGATTCAATCCAAATGCCCAAGTGCTTATGTTTATTAACAGCCGACAGATTATTCTCATTTATCACATACTGATGAACTAAAGGACAATTGGTCTTGGTAATATGTAAAGCCTTACACTTTTCCGACTTCAGCGTGACCTTCCACAAGTCAGACCATGAGGCGGCAGACTTTTTTAATGTCTTACAAATTTTCAATGAGGTCGTATGAAACGACGGTTAACGAGAATATTATCGTTTAAAAAATCTATTGAGCGATTATTTGCTCAATTTTTTGTTAATGTATAAGCCAAAATATATACTTAAATGCCAAGAGAATGAAAGCATCTCACGAATGCTAATGAAATCCCTCTTTTTGAGATCGTTTAAAGCTATCCCTTTGATTCTTTCAGGTTTCATTATTTTTCATTGTGACCCATCTGGAACTCAATTCATTTTTCTGGCGGAGCGAGTTTATAATTTTGTCGCGGGCGCAGCGCGCGGATCACGCGAGGATCGCAAGGGAACTGCGATTTCATAAATCTTTCTATCGGTTTGGTATCCGCAGTTGCCTAGCAACGAGCCATAAACAAATTCTAAAGACGCCATTAAACATGATGTCATCATGCATTTTGGGTTTCCAGGCAACACGGCAACAAGGCAACTTGGGCTCATTTTATTCATCTTCTGTTTTAATATTGTACGTTGGCGAATCGCCAACAGGCGAATCGCAAAGTATCTCTGAGGCAAATAACAGCGGGCTGCCAACACAACGGTGCCCGATTGGACAAGTGGCCGGAAATCCTTGCCGTGGGAGTTTTAACACCGAAAGAACGGTGACCTAAACTTCATCTAGCCTGCGAAAGCATCCATTTCTCCTCGCTCAGAGCAATGAGAAATGGATGCTTTCGCAGGCTAAACTTATTAATAAGCGAGAGCAGTGATAAAGGAGACCAGTCCGTTAATCGAGCGGCCTATATAAAGCCCGAGAGTGAATAAACACGGAGATAATGCGAAATGGTTTTGAAATGCTCGTTTTGAGCTAATCTTCCTCAAATGTATCTTTGAATTCATGATAAATACAGCTCTACAAGGTTCGAACAGTGTGACTGGCAGAGAAAAATACTTCAACACTATTAATTTTAGAGAAATTTTGGTGTAGTGGTCAGAGGCCGCACTTTTTGGCTTGAGGAAGTTGGGGTGCAGGTTCAAATCCCGGCGTGGCTACTTCCATTTTCTTTTTTTTCATCGTATTTTTACCCTTTGGCTTTCTCACTAGCTCTCACTGCTGACCACGTTAGCTTCGCGAGATTTTTGCGAAAACGTATTTCTAGTTTAATTTGCTATTTACATTTATCTAAAGCAACGTTTTTGATGTCACAATATTAAACTCAGCGACGGTTGAGTGTTATCATTTTCAGTAACTTTTAAACAAAGCCGTAACGAAGTCGACTGTAGAAGGAGCAGATAACTTGTCCAGGTGCCCCATTCAAACGTATGACTTAACATGTTTAATTAAACCATGTTTTTAAACATGAAAAACGGACACGAAAAACAGGAACACAGGTTTTTAATTACACAGGATGCAGTAATAAAACTCAACCCGTTTTGTAATTTGCAATAAAGTTGCCATCAACCTTAAGTGTTTTTCTGAAGGCAAGAAAAAATTATACCGTCTTTGACTAAACA